TGTAGATGATTCATTTTGCGCCACCAGCATCGTATTATTTTGCAATATATCTAGTGCACCAAGTGAATTTAAGATAGTATGATTCAGTGGAAATTTATAATCAAATAATTGACTGCTTTCATTGTAAAGATTGATGTTGAAATTTATAATAGATCCGGACTGTTGCTGCAATATTAACGCGTATCCTCCAAGAGGCGATGTTCTAATATTTGCTGAATTTTCATGGAATACTACTTCATCTGCTGCAAACACAGATCCATTGGAGAGTAAATGCATTTTCAAATGACATCCGTGCATTGCGTTAGTAGTAGGTTGAGCTAATGTGGTTGAGAATAGAGTAGTTATATTAAACGGAATTTGAGAAGTTGTCTTATTAGTTACAGAAACAATACACGAATGACCAACGGTAAACGTAGTTGACAGAGCAGAAAAAGCCAGTGAATGCCATATTCGGTTGCGTTAATTGATATAAAATAAACTTACAGCTTTTATTTTATAATTTTTCAATTTTATAGCATATAATCTTGAACTCGTAAATGACCTATTGGTGTACACAATCGCATATCCACTATCTAAAGTTTGAAGCACGGTAACTTTAAAACTGATAAGGTCTGTATCATATGTAGTGAAACTTCCATTGCATAAACTAAAAAAAAAACTTATGAATTGAATATGTGTGTATGCAATTAATGTTATTGCTGATACTGAGAATTTAAGTTATCTTTTGGAGGTACGTACTGTACGTACGTACATACCTACTTACAATTGACTATATCAGTTGATTTGGATAAGGAAATCCAATCTTCCCAGGTAGGGTGCGTCAATCACATATAATTTCATATGCCTAATTAGGTACGTACGTACGTACGTATTAAATCAGCTAATATGCTCAGAAAGTATATATCGTATAATTGACTACAGTATTAACCAATATTGCATATTTGCATATCGTTAATTAAAATTTTTTGTGTACTGCAACAATGATATACTTTTTGAGTCCACTTGCATGTTTTTTGGTTGGGATTTAGGGTAGAGTTATTAATAAAAGAATATATGAATGTTGGAGGGCAACAACCTACTGTATTCAAGTTTTCACTGTGCCGAACCAGTGTCTAAAATTAATGTGCGGAAGGCGAAGCGCACTTCAAAAAAATTTCGCACTTTAAATTTAACAATATGTGCGCAATGCGCACATTAAAATTTTCGAAATTCATATATGTTTTATGCTCTGAAGTGCGTCATTTTAATTGGATTATATATTATTTGTGCTATTTGTTTTATTGCACATATTTAAAAAAAATTATTTTTGTGCGTTGCGGCCCATAATTTTGATGCTGAATTTTATACACTGTACCGAACTAACTTCTGAAGAATCCTGATCTTACGTAATTAATCAAATATGATCGGTATTCCTAAAGATAAACTATAGTACGTAATAGTTATCAAGCGGACTCTAATACCCATGACTTTATAACTGTTATTTTCACAGGAATTTTCACTGCTTTACTTCACGGCAAATAAATTGTTTTTTTTTTAAACGATTCCTTTCTTTACATTTTTTATTGATAATTTACGAACAAAATTTCTTACAAAATTTCCCTAACACAATCTCACTGTGAGTATATCAGCTGTGAAAATTAAAATATCAGTAAAAAAAGTTGTGGGTGAACAATTAGGATCCGTGTAATGCCACTACATATTACATATCTAACATATTGTTTGGGGCTTATT